CAGTGTGGGGGGACCCTGTACCCCACTGAGGGTCAGTGTGGGGGGGACCCTGTACCCCACTGAGGGTCAGTGCGTGGGGGGAGACTCTATCCCACTGAGGGTCAGCGGCACGTGGGTGGGGCACTGTTGTGACGTTTGGGGGGGGGGGGGGGTACTCACTGGGTGACAGTTGGAATTTGCTGCGATGTTAAATTTCCAGCTGGATACCGAGGTCAGTCCCATGCTGCTGATACTTGCTCCGTGATAGGCTCCACTGGAGAGAAATGGTGAGGCATTGTCAGGAAGTCAATGTCCTATCATTTCACAAAAATTCATCTTTCTGTTCATTCACTCACAGAATGTGGGCATCACTGTTTATTGTCCATCCCCAATTACCCAGAGGGCAGCAGACAGTGAGCCACATTGCTGTGGGTCTGGAGTCACATGTAGGCCAGACCAGATAAGGATGGCAGTTTCCTTCCCTGAAGAGCATTAGTGAACCAGATGGGTTTTTACAGTGTCCTTTAGGGAAGGAAACTGCCATCCTTACCCAGTCTGGCCTACATGTGACTCCAGGCCCACAGCAATGTGGCTAACTCTCAGCTGCCCTCTGGGTAATTATGGATGGGCAATAAATGCTGACCTGCCCAGTGATGCCCACATCTTGTTAATGAATACAGAAATGCTGGTCCAAACCTAACTGGGTTACCGAGGAATGAGGGCGGAGTTGGTTGCAGGGATCTGGGGAAGGAGGTCAGCAGCAGAAACGATTAAGGAACAATGGTCAATGTTTAATAAAATAGATCACGGCTCAAAACACAGACTCTCTCCTGTCAGGAAGGAGCATTCTCAGAAGAGGATAAACCAACCCCGGTTAACCAGGGAAATTAAAACTAACATCAGATTGAGTGTAAAACATACAATGGCAAAGATCAGTGATAAAGCAGAGGATTGGGAACAGTTTTTAAAAATATGACAGAAAATAGCCAACAAAACTATACAGAGGGAGAAATTAAACCAATAAGTGAAATGAAAACAGACAGTAAGGATTTAGCACATGAATTTAGAATTATTGTCATTGTATTTTTATTGTAAAAGTGCAGTGTAAAGTATTATAAGTTGCTTTACCATGGCTCTGGTGGGACTTGAGACCATTGCCCCTCACCCATTACCCACCCCCCACACCTCCCTCCCCCCCAATCCCCTCTCCCCTCCCCCATATCACCCTGCCCCCTTCTCCCAATCACCCCCCCCC